TGGCGCAGTTGACTTTAACGTCGCACCCAGCTGTACCACAAGTTACTTCCTTGTTTATATCTGCAAAATCTGCTTTCTTTTCACTCAGAGATAGTTTTTGAGCCGGCTGGTAAACCATACTTGTACAATTATGGGTCCACATTCTCTGATTTTCGCAGTTTCGAGATCTGTTTGTCATATTCCATTATTGTGTTTACAAAATTTTGGTATGAATCAGATAATTCAACAGTGAATTTGCTTTTAAAAATGTCTCAATCCTACCGTAATTAAATACTAATAGGTCCAGCCCAGTGTTTCCCAGTGTTGCCAACTTGGATTATTTAAATCTAGATTTAGATTATTTTCGTATGATTTAGATGTAAGAAATACCCATTTAGATGCTAGATTATTTTCTAGATTATTTTAGCATTCATTTAGATATATTTAGATTATTTTGACAAATGTTATTTTGCATTGTTCTCTAGCTGTATAGTGGCAAAGAAGTGAAGTGCAGTTCACCGGTATCTATAGCAGTGAATAACATATGTAGAGAATAAATACAGAAAAGGTACTGCAGTGATAGTGCTCAAAACAACAAGCAGACAAGGGAGATATGTCTAAAGAAACCAGTGGCAAACGATACGACCAGAAATTTCGAAAACAGTGGCTAAAAGATGACTCACTGAAAGAGTGGATAGCGCCCGTGGCTGCTGATGCATCTAAGGCATTCTGCAAGTTCTGTAAATGTGATGTTAAAGCAAAATATCAAGATTTGAAGCAGCATACTAAAACTCAGAAACATTTGAAAGCTTGTCCATTCACTACCAGGACTCTTGATCCATTTATGACTATTAAAAACTCTGAAACAGCAGAGCTGGAAGCGTCGATTTCCACATTTTTATGTTGCCACTCAGCTATTTCTAATTGCGACCATTTAGTTGATTTATGTAAAAGAAATCTCCCTACAAACAAAACAGTGTCTGAAATGAAAATGCACCGAACTAAATGTACCCATATCATAAGAAATACTCTGTGTGAGCATTTTAAAACAGACCTAAGACGAGATATCTGGATATTGGTGATGGCAGATTTAGCATTCTGATAGATGAGTCCACAGACATAACAGTACATAAGTTACTAGGCATATCTATAGTTTATTACAGCATGTCTGAAAAAAAGATTGTGTCAACCTATCTGGAACTTACAGCTTGTGATGCTCAGCACATTGTTATAGCTATTAAGAACGTACTCGGTTCACATAAATTGAGTCTGAAGAATCTTGTAGCAATGGGAACAGATAATGCGAGTGTGATGATTGGCATAAATAAGGGTGTTCATGCACAACTGAGGGCCGAGATACCATCCCTTATTCTTATAAAATGTGTATGCCATTTTATTCAATTGGCAGTCTCACAAGCATCGGCAGATAGCCTGCCAAGACACCTTAATTTTTTGATTACCGAGACACATAAATGGTTCTCACATTCATCTACCAGGCAATATCGGTATAAGACTCTGTATCAAACTTTGAATGATGGCACATCACCTTTGAAAATTCCTAAAGATTGTCAAACAAGATGGTTATCTATTCAACCAGCTGTTCAAAGAATCTTAGAACAATGGCTGGAACTAAAAACTCACTTTGAAGTTTCACGATTGTCAGAAAAGTGCTATACTGCAGAAGTTCTGTATGAAATGTACTCAGATGAAAAAAATTTGGCCTTCCTTCTGTTTCTAAGTCCAATTTTGACTGAAGTACAACAAGTAAACAAACTGTTTGAATCCAAAAACATTGAAAAAGTGAAACTATTAAATGATCTAACAATGCTGATGAAATCAATTGCAAAAAAGCTTGTATCGCCAACCTGTAATATTGATCTACTTAATTCTAACATTGAAGAGTATCTGGACCCAAAACCATACTTAGGCTACAGATTTGAGTGGAAAATTCAAGATTTGAAGAAGCAAAATAAACTTACCAATACTGATGAAACTTGTATAAGAAAAAGATGCTGTGATTTTTTACTGGCACTGCATAAACAGTTAAAGCAGCGTCTACCTGATAATCTTAAAGTTCTGCAGAACATTTCTTGCTTCTCTGTTATTAACATGCTTCAACCACTTAAAGACAAAGCTGCCATCTGTGAAGTTATGAAATTTTTGGGGGCCTCTGATCAATCTATCTCTCAAGCAGAATACCAACTAAGCAAGATAAATCTTGTGGACTGGGTGCATAAGGATGATACAGAAGCCTTTTGGAGTGAAGTGGGTGACTATAGGGATGCTTCAGGATGCAATCCATTTTTAGAACTTTTCCAGTGTGCAATTTCAGCCCTAATTCTACCTCATTCAAATGCTGAAATTGAGAGAGTATTTAGTGCAATGAATTATGTCAAGTCAAAACCAAGAAACAGAATGTCACTGCAGCTGCTGAATGCCATCTTAACTGTAAAATTTGGGTTGATAAGAAAAGAAGAGTGCTGCTCCACTTACAAGTATCCACCAAAAGTCATTGCAGAGATAGGAACAAGCGCTGTCTACCAATATCAGAGCCAGTCAACTTCAGCATCTCATCCCATAGATCTTTCATATGTAGAAGATATTAACTTTAGAGAATTGCAACAGTTGTAGTTTGTACTTGTAATTTCTGTTACAGTTTCAAAAGTGTACATGTAGTCGCATAACTTGCTTATAATTAATTAAAATATTAAATGACCTGTATCACACGGATAATTATGCTGTGTGAACTTAGTAGTATCCCTATTTCGAGACAAAGGAACCAAATTACAGTAAAATAGGAAAATTCAATGTTCTATTTACTTCATAAATATTGTTATTTGTATATTGTTTCTTTTTTATTAGTGTATTTGATATTCGGTGATTGCAGACACTAAAAAGTAAATCCATAATTATTGTGGTGCAACAAGCTTTCATTTTTTCTCATGATAAATACTTAAGTTACCTTACTTATGTTCGAAAAGCTGTATTGATATGAGTAATCATTTTTCTTTACATTACAATCTTCGTTTTTTCATTGCAAATGTAACTTTGGTATTTTTGGATTATTATTTGGATTATTATTTTTTGAATTTAGATTATTCTAGATATTTTTTGTGAAGATTCTAGATTATTTTAGCACCGAACAGTTGGCAACACTGGTGTTTCCCAACCACCGTGACGCGGCACATTTGTGTGCCGCGGAATGATTATTGGTGTGTCGCAAAGATATTTCATTTTTCTAATTTATTTCACATGATTCTAATTTTAAATAGGCAGGTGAAAGTAAGCATATCGACTTACAGACACGCATTTTAATCTAAAACTTGGAAAGAAGACGAGAGTAAACTAAGTTGCTCAGGTATTTAGTCATACTATAAGCCGAGTACTGAAAACGCTTTTTCACGTCGGGTGACGTCGTGAACCATCTATACAACTGTTTATTTACATTCTCTGTATTGAATTAACGATGTCGCTGATACTTAGTTCCCAGGCTTGATCAATAAAAGTAGCATTCGGTATCATATTTTAGCATGAGGCGTAGCTTGGAACGGATGGATATAATATAATGGATGGTGTAGTCAGGTGGGGGTTAGGATTGATATGTGAAAGAATTGTCATGCTACACCTACTAGAAGTATGTTAGGTAGGAAACTACATGAGACCCGTTTTCTTTAGGTGTGCGTGTGGTATTGTGAAGATAACAATATGTGATTCCTTACATGCAGTTTATAATAGCCATATGGAAACACTAGGAATGAACTCATTTGCAAACATTGTGAAATTTAATTAAATCTGTAAATCAAAAATAATAGACATCAATTATAACAGTGAGTGCAAACCCCTCATTTACGAGACTGTCTGGGCTTCCATATAGACTCAAAATAATCTAATTCACTTTAGGGAGAAAAATTTTAACACAGTCAAAAAACGCAATTTTGGTCAGATGATGTACGCGCATGTCACGATTTGAATTATTACCGAGACAAACTTGGCAGGATCTATCATCATGCCAGACGTCCGAATTTCAGAGACAAATAGGCCTAGTGTTTGTTTTATTGAACCAAATGTCACGACGTTTTGGAAATGGAGAACTAGTCTATGCCCTACTGAAACTTGACTAAGCATACATGAATTCACACCTGAGAAAAACCATTGAATTGTAAATATTGTGGAAAATTTTTCAACCGAATTGCAAATTTAAAAAAAAATTCTTTAGTTCACACTGGAGGTACCCTTACGCTTCTAAAGAATGTGGAAAAGGTTATCCAACGTCACATGATTTAAATATTCACATGCGAATTCTTACAGTAATCAAATCCTATGGAAAATGTTTTACGGTTGTTGGAAATTTGACAACACATACCGGTACTCGACTACACACCGCGGTAAAACCCTTAACTTGCAAACATTGCTGAAAGCCTTATTGGATATTTGAAAATTCATATTGCAATTGACACTGAAGAAAAACCTTATGCTTGTGAACAGTGTGGCAAAGGGTTTACGACGTCCAGTGAAATGAAGGTTCATGAGATAATGATACACACAGTAATTAATCCATATGAATGCAAATTCTGTGGGGAGTGTTTTGCGAGGGCTGGACATTTGAAAAGACATACCCTAATTCACATTGGGGAAAAGCCATTCAACTGTGAACTTTGCGGAAAATGTTTTACACAAATTGCGTACTTTAATTCACACTGGAGAACAATTACACTTCTGACCAGTGTTAAAAAACAACATTGAGTAGTATGAATAGACTTGCACTGATTCAAACATTGTAAATAATTTTATACTCACAAATTATTCCTACTAGGAGCTACCGGGGAAAAAACAAATGAGTAATACCATGAAGTTAAACCCCACTCAATCATGCATATATAGATATAGACAAAAGTTTCGGTTTAGTTTGTTCCAATATTGTTTGATCTCGATGCATGCACACAATGCAAGTTACTTTTTCTCCATTTATCTGCCATCTTTGCATGTTGAGATTTTTGGTTGTGATCTTATGTGTATAGAATTCGATAGATAGAGAATAACCGGACAAGAGGCCGTGGTTAACCCTATGATTAAGCCATCTTATCGCCTTCCCTCTCCTTTGTCAAACCATTGAGTGATTTTTTTTGTATTGATGGTTTCAACCGTTTCCAACAACTGAATATTTCCAATCCACTGATCGTGTGACCTGCTGGTGTTGGTGGGTGCATCGTTGCTGCAGCATATCATCAAAAATTCGCAAAGGTACCGAGCCGTAACTTAATAAGAAACAGACTAATGCGCAAATCGATTGTTAAATCAGCAGCTATTCGTTATCATGATTACAGCCACTGTCCAGAGAATAAACATACCAAGCCCGGAACCAATTGAAATAAAGTGTATACTGTGACACAAACATCGAAAGGTATTAGTACAGTGCTCAATTTTGTAGTTATATATGCTGTATCTATGTATCTGCTAACTTTATTATTTTCAACTTTCTTCCCCTTCTGGTCCCAATCCAAACATCGCCGCTATTCCCTCGTCAACAAAACTTTCATGATGAGGGTTATTTCCACATGGCTAGACTATATTACCACACAGTATGTTTTATTGACTATTACTCAATTTGAATTTTAACCCTTGGATTGGTGTCAAACACATTAGTTAAAAGCTGTTTACATTTTTTCTCTGCGTATTATGTCCCAATAGTTAATTCAGTGTCAAGTAATATTGTTCCTTTTTTATCACAGATTTGTTTAACCATATGAATCAAGATGGTTTTACATGATTACGAAGATTCCAGCCATTTGCGGCATCATCGGAAGCACAGGGAACCATTAAAGTCAACACAAGAAGAAGATTTTCTTGAAAGAAGAAGAGAGGAAAGGGAGAGAATCGGAGAGTTAGGTACTGCGAACGTTTGGGCTGAATCACCAAAATCTCAGGAAATATTCTCTTTTTCCGATACAAGCAGTCATAATAAACGGAAAAGTAGTGAAGATATTAAAACTGAAAAGAGTAAAAAAAGAAAGAAAAAAAAGAAAAAACGAGATTCCAGTTCAGATTCTGAACCTAAACGTAGCAAGCATAAATCAAAAAAGAGGAAGCACAAGAGCAAACATAAACATAAGAAGAAAAAATCAAAGATAGAATCTAGTGATTCATCTGATGTTAACGAAGAGGAAAATTGGGAAGAAAAGGATCCAGAATCATCCGGATCTACAGACAAGTCCGAGATGACAGTGCCAGATGTTGGTATAGATGCCCCATCAACGTCTGTTGCTGTAGTTAAGGAGGAAGTGGTCATTGGCCCACTGCCAAACACACAAGAGGGTGATGGTTTCAGCAAGCCTCTTGACTATGGGCATGCTTTGTTACCAGGAGAAGGTGCTGCTATGGCAGCTTTTGTTGCAGAAGGAAAAAGAATTCCAAGGAGAGGTGAAATTGGACTCACTAGTAATGAAATAACATCGTTTGAAGATGTTGGTTATGTCATGAGTGGGAGTCGACATAGAAGAATGGAGGCCGTCAGACTGCGAAAAGAAAACCAGATATACAGTGCCGATGAAAAGCGAGCTCTAGCATCATTTAATAAACAGGAAAGGGACAAGAGGGAATCTAGAATATTAAGTTCATTTAGGGAACTCGTTAAGGACAAAATGAAGCAATGAATCATAAAGACTCAAAATAGTGGATTTTCTATCATGGTTCGAGGTCCATACTACATAAGATCAAGTTTGTGGATGTGGGTGGGCATTACTTTTGACTATAATCCTATCATCTATTGGTCTGACATTGTTAAGCCTAACACGCTCATCTATTGGTCTGACATTGTTAAGCCTAACACGCTCGAGGTTAAACAGTATGTTGCTCATGGTAAATTTTTTAAGTGTATGTGACTGCATCTCCTGTTGGTCATTTTATACATCTGAATGAATAGTGTCAAATTTTTATTAAAATATGTCGGGTTTGTGCACTTTTTTTAACGTTGTACATTGCGCATGTGTTGGATTGGCAGAGTACAGGCTCCACATTTTAGCCATGCTTCAAATGATTTGCAGTGTTAAAGGTGCTTTAATACCACTTGACTGAGCATTCGATTTAAAACACTTGCGCAAGTTCACCATAGAGTGTCCACATAGCTAACTAAGTTACAGCTTCCCCTACCGACCACAAAGATGATTTGATTTGTACAAATTTATTTTATTTATATTTTCATCATATTATTAAAGTATCAATTACCGTAAATAAAATTGACAGAGTGGGAAATTATATGCAAGATTTTTACAGGACAGGTCTGGAGGATAAAATCATGAATATATCCCACGATACAGTGATCTTTCCATCCTCTCCAATTATTCTTTTTAGGAAGCTGATAAGCTCAGTGAAAGCATCGGTTTGCTGCTCTGTTTCTGCTAGTTTACGATAACCAGACCATGTTGAAATGTAACCTTGAAGCTCCTGCAGAGACCAATCTCTAATGATTTTCATCGAATCTTCACGAACTTTTTCCTTACATGGCAGCGCATCATAAAATTCACTCAAATAGTTGTCAATATGCTTTCGTCTGGGATGGAAAAGACACTTTTTATAAAATGTCTGAAACGCTTCATTGCACTCGTCGCTTTTACGAGAGGTTGATATTCTAGCAGTGCTGTAACCATAGGTTGCCATGCATCCATGTGATACTAAGACCCTTTTGCATTCTTTAAAGTAGGCGTCCCAATCAAGCCAGTGAACTGATTGAGCACAGCAAATCAATTCAACAGAGTTGTCACAAAGAGGAATGTCCTCCCCATTTCCCACTTTATATTCAATATTTTCAAATTTGTTGGCTTTCGAAGCTACGCGTATTTGCTCTTCACTTGGATCTAGACCAGTAATTTTCTTGCAATGTTTCGCATAAAGTGGAGTTGACTGTCCACTCCCACAACCTACATCCACCAAATGGGTGCAAAGATTTGTACGCATCGAACTAGATCTTTTGGATTTAAGGTAATTAATAGCAGTCTCTGCAACTTCTTTTGGCCATGTTGGTCTATGCTTAGCATATGCTTCAATATGGGATTTGCCCTCGAACAATCTAATCATGTTTTTCAGTGAGTTGGACCAATTTTAACCATTGTATGCCCTTGAGTTACCACAAAAATAAAATGTCAAATAAATACATAGTCAGGCGCTGTCATGCTGTTAGGAAAAGGTATGTGAAATCTCTCTCTCCAACGTTTCAGGCAATTAATTGCAAACTTGTTGATGCTGGAATATTCCAGCTGAGGTAAACTGTTTCCCAGTTTTTTTCGACAACTTCGATGCTAACGTATGGGACTGATGTTAGAGATGTCGCCCTGCAGAAAAACGCTAGTAGGTGTATCTCTGTACTTCGTTAGAGCCGCCCATACCATATTTGTCATGGAAATTTTACTATCATTTACCCATACCATACAACTGTCTTTCATATCTAGGACATGTACTTGAAAGTGCCCACCACCGGCTGATATCATAAGATGTCTAATTCCCAAAGGAGACGAAGCGTCGCCCATGCTGAACTCCCCGACGTGCGACCGTGGAGAAGTTGCGCCTTGGTGGATGCCTGCCACCAGTGGAAAAAGTGAGGTCAAAGTTTGCAGTGTGGATTTGAAATCCTTGACTGAGAGCTGTGGTCGTTTCCCTGAGCATGGAGTTTCACTTTTTTCAACGAAAACATGAGCAATAAGTTAACCAGACGCGCAAACAGATTTCAACTGACATTCCCTCTCACCCGCCGAGCAACGATTTTTTCGTCTATTGCGTAAGAGGATTGCTGGACTCTTCGCCGCCGTAGGGTAGTTCACGTAACCGATGGTCGGTTACGGCTTCCTCCAACATCAAGTCCATGCTTCCGAAAACAAATAACTGGCTAACTAATCTCATACCAGACCTGAAAACCCGACGAGAGGCTGTGCGTCGCCCTTTTATTATTGAGCCGTCTTATCGGCTTCCCTCTTCCTCGGAATAAATATGTAAATCCTATCCTACACCGACTAAGCAAGATGTCAAATGTTGCACTATTTCATCCATAGCACTTTCTTCACTCAGACAGATTTTAAGGTTTGGTCGTACCGCTCGCACGGCGTTTGTGTTGGTCAGCGGTAGCAGTGCTTACCTGATTTTTGTTGTGTAACGCTACATTCAGCTTCATGGCTGCCTATATTAAATACCATGTAACCTAATGAATGAAAAGCACGTTTTGCTGATTTGCGCAGGAAATGCTCCCTCCAGCCAAGTTCAAAATTTTTATCTTAAGGCCTCAAGCACACATGAAGCCCAACCATCGGAATGAATCGATGATTGAAAAACTTTTCTGATAAACTTGTCATTTTCGGCCATGCCGATCAATATCTTCCATTTATTTTTTTCACATGCAATGCTAATTTTGGCAAATGATATCCAAGACAACCCCAGAGTAATAAACCTAAAGTGCACATAGTCTGGCTAATCATTAAGCTCATGACGATTTTTACATCAAAAGATCAGATCTATATATACTTTAAAAATATAAATTGTTTTCGATGTGGCCACTATGAACAGTTGAAATCAGCTGCTCAATTAGACCAATACTCACTGCCTTTTTAGAATTTACCTGCGTATACATAAAATATCAGTTCTCCAGACAGGTCACACTAAGATTGATCGATTTCAACACTAACGCTCAGCAAGGTAAATAGCCTTTTGCAACACAAGTTAAAAAAGAGGTTCTACTTTGAATTAGAAAAAAATATTTTAGAATCACCCACCTACTGAACTGACACCTACTATGAACAAAAAATAAGCCAGTCCTGTACTGTTTTTAAAAAGTGAGCATAAATCAAATAAATACAAGCCAATTCATAATCTTAAATCTCACTTTCATGAACAAATCAATTACATACCACTAACAGCCAGCAGACAATGTTTATATCAATTTCAACTGAACCATCAATAATTGCGACATCATAAGTGCATATCTAATCCCACAACAAATAAATTAGACGAGAGTACGATTCTTACATTTCAATAGTTCACAAATTAAATATGAACTGTAGTAGTATCAGGTCTTTTTTATCCAATAAAAGCTTCAGGTTTCATAACTTAAAATTTACTTACAGCAGTCCACCTTTTGTACATTTCCAGAATCCCACCACGCAAAATGGAATTCAGGGTCCAATAAATTATTAATAATTGAAAAACGAAAAATATATTCATGTGGTTGGTGCTTCAGCTGCGGCCAGTCTTAGAAACTACAGCATCCCCATTGTCTTTCGCACATTCAACCTTGTTTCTTCTTTTTCTTCTTCTTTTTACCTCGACGATGCCAGTAGGATCTGGAGGGGGATACTTGTCTGAACATGGTAACTTCCTGATTGACATAAATTGCTGCAAAATTTCTGGTGTGACCTATAAAATAAAAGATAGAAAATCGATGAATCTGATCGCATCTACTGCTAGTGATTCGCAAGTATGCAACCTATTTAACAATAACAGGTGTGGCGTGCCATAACTTTTCTGCTTTGGTTTGTAGTGTACTGGTTTAATATTCATGTATTCTGCGCCTCTGTCAATATGCTTACTTAATGTTTATGCTTTCTCATTTTGCTGATTTAACAATTGCCAATTAGAATAACATCAATCGTGTCATAAATTATCGTTCTAATTAAAACATACATGACTACAGCATGATAATAACAAACCTTTTTTCTTTCCTCTTGATGTGTGGCAACAAGAGGTTGCAATATTGAAATGAGTTCTTTCTTCAATTCTCCTGTCAGCATTTTTCCACTTGAATAATCCTACGAAGAGAACAATGCCATATTACTACTTTACAATGTCCAACTCATGGTATGCTAATTACTCCTTGTGCTAAATTGTTGTGGCTGTTGGGCCACTCTGTTGTATAATGTTAATGTGCTTAAATATCAGCTATAAGCAAGAAACTAAGAGGAATGGGGGAAGGGACATTTCAACGAACTACAAACATAATGAAACTCCTTTAGTTACTAAAGATTTAACCAAAAATGAATAAGTACAAAAAAATCACATATAACTATACGGACCATAAGGCACACTTTGAACCCTTTTTTTTCTCAAAGACTGACTGTGCGCCTTATAAGGTAGTACTTTATTGCTTATACTCGAAGTCAGTACCGGTATTGCTTTACAAACTTGCGTCTTGTATATGAGTAAAAACCCAATCTAAGCAATTTATCAACAGTGCGCCTTTTGGTTCGTAAAATATCGTACTTGGTATGAGCATAGTTCTGAATATATTAACCTGAAGTGTAATTATTGAAAGTTATAGATTAATAGAAAGATTATCCAATATACCTCTCTAATTTGTTCTAAACGTTCATCATCTTCCAAAAAGAACTTTAGATATTGATATGAAACATCAACTTCACAATCTCCCCCATGTTGCCTATGTTCTTCTATTGTGTCTCTCCCTCCGGAAAATGCATATCTATTGATCTTAAAATGGAAATTATAACATAAAAGATCTTCAATGATAAAATTCATCTTATTATTAACTTATACAGTTCTTCTGCACAGCTTTCATTTCCTAGTAGTAATTGTAACAGAGCATACATACTTTGTTCTTCACTTGATTTGGAGTGTCCGTTAAAAATATAGATGAGGTTGGATCACTGGAACTCATTTTAGTTTGAGCTCCTTGCAATGCAGGAAAAAATACAGAGTGTAGAAGTGCAGGTTTTTGAAATTTCAATCTCGGTGCAACATCTCTTGTCATACGGAAATATGGATCCTATTGAAACATAAAAAATTGGTCAAGACATTGCCACTTAAATTTTAATTCAAGTGTTACTTTAATTTTAGAAAGAAGAAAATATGACAAATTTATATTCAAGTTTTGAATGGAGTAAAAATGAATTTCTTCTTAATACTAATAGGAAAAGCCTGGCCTGTATTCTCTGGGAGACTTGATCAAATGAGTATTCTTGGGCGAGGTAGTTTCATAAAATTCCTGAAAAATAAAACATAAACCTGGTCTATTGCACATGGTATCAAACATGGAATATCCTTCCTCCCATTAAATATGTGAGGAAAACTCGTTGAAAAGGAAGGAGCGGCTTGAATAGCGGGAAAACTGATTTTACCTAAACACAAAAAAGTATGATTAAATATCTGATAATATATACCATGATAGCTTAGAGTCAAAAATTTATAGTCTTACCAATACAATCGCTGTCCCCAAATCCAAATATTCCTCTTGCCTGATTAAATGTCACACATTTTTCTACTCTTTTCATATTCCAGTAAAAATCTTTACATGATCTGTGAAGAAAAAAATTGGATGAATTCTTGACATAGTCTCGTTTTCCAGTATATAGAAAAATACCATGTACAAATATGAAATTCGCCACAAATCATGTTGCAGACCAAAACATATGTGAGAAATAGCTAGCTATCTTGTTAAAACATGATTTTCATTCAACATAGCACTTCATCATTTATAGATATTGAAAAGTTGCGACAGCTGAAAATTTTCCCCTTTTCCTAAGAAAAATGACAAAACCCACCCAATATAATCCAAATCTGAAAATATGAAAGTTTTGTCGGGATCGAATCCGCACGCAATTATATCTTTCGCATTTTCTTTTGAAAGCTCATAACATTCTTCGAGTGTCAAATCTTTCCATAGGAATTTTTCATCATCAGTTAACTGTACAACAACAGGAACATCAAATGCCTCTTGTAAATATCTGAATTATAAATAAAAAAATTGAAAGCACAACTGAATTTTAGTTCTTCTTATCAAAGATTTTTGTGAAGCTGTATTGTTTGGAAATAACAAAAATATCTGAAGCATTTAGCTCAAAAGAAATTTACTTAAAACACTATTCAAAACAACAGTTGATTCTATTCAAAAATGAGGTTTCCTTATTTCAGATATGAACATCTCTGTGTGGCACTGTTGATAGCAAAGTTCCATTGGTAAGTAAATATATACAAATACCGAAATAAAAAATTGGTCAACAATTTTTTACCACAAAAATTTCTTTAAATCTTTTAATTAATTTGACTATTACAAGCATTCTAAAATTTGAATTGATCCAATGACTGGCAAACATAAATCATAATATTGATGGCAATTCAATTACGCCATGAAAAGTATTGATTACATGAAAAGTTCAAGAAGCAAAATTTTTATGAAAGTAGTATAAAAATAGATAAGTACAGGATACTATAATTCACACGTCACTGATATTTTTAAAAAATTGGGACCATATTTGTAGACTAAAATCATATTTAATAAGTTTTGAAATTGCCCCGAAGGCATGAAAAAATGATTACAATCGATACAATGTTGTAAAGAATTATTTAAAATACAGTGGATTGTCTTAATTAATACTATGTGATGAAGCTCATATATTATTTCTTGCCAAAAACATAACTTGAGCAATTTTTCGGCCATTAGACTGTTTTTCTTTGAGATATTAGTGTCATAGGTTCTCATTGAGCACAATGACGTAGAAACTGCATACTATACATAAGAAAAACACTAATATGATAGAAAATAACCCATAATTCAACCACTGATCAAATTTCACTAATATAACGATATATTTCATAACATGAACCTTTCTTTAAATAATTAGGTCCATAATATCTACGACTACGTATATATAATAAACACTAAGTCTTCTTTAGTAATTTCAAGTCTTATTCATAAAACAAGTTGTTCATGATATAGTCAAGGTTTCATACTCGTCCATGGTTATGAGAAGAGCGAGACGGTTAGAGATCTGATTCTATTTAAACTGCTTATAGTTTTGATATTGCTATTATGATGAGTTATTACTTATCGATCTCGATCGATATGTTACGCGATATCTTGCGAAAGCGAGGTTGAATCTGCTCCAAATTTTGCATGTGCATTCATCATGTCTCGGAGAACAAGCCTATTAATTTTGGATGAGTTATGTCATAAAAATTAGCGAGTTATTAATTAATAATGATGGGACACGTGGTGTCGCTATTGACTCAGCAAGGAATCGAAACTGCAGATCGATAAGTCAGCGGTCTCAGATCGCTATCTAGTTTACCTTGTCATTATGAAAGGTATAAGATGTCCCAAATGCATTGCCTGTGATGAAGGTCCTCGGCCAGTGTACAAATAAAAGGGTTTTCCTTGTTCATACAAATCTAAGATGCGATGCATTTCCCTATAAGTGTAGTACAGAAAAAAATGTTATTGTGTGTAAACAAAATACTAAAACAATTATTTCCAAAATCATGCCGACTAAAACACCTTTCTTTGTTATTGTAAATAAATATATGAAAATGACATGAACTGAACTTCATAGCAATTCCAATTTTGTTTTTATGACCAAGATAAAATGGTTTCGAAAATTAGCATTGCAAGATCACAGTAGTATGGTCATTTTTCACACATAAATTTCCTCTTCAAAATAAACATTTTCTTATTTATTACATGAATTATTTCTGATTCTTTTTCCATTGTCAACCACAATACACATAGTTCTTTCTAAATTCAGATATTTTCCAGAAATATTTTGTGAGTAAATCTTGTAACATAGACCAACCGTGAATTTCTGTTAAAAAATAACAAACCTGTGTGAGAAAAACAGTCCTCTTTTGATGAAATGATGAACTTTTCTACCAGATTTTGAAGTTATTTGTTCAATTCTATCAATAAGTGTTTGATCGACTTTACTTGATCCGAATCTCTCTGTATCAAATGAACAATTCAAAAATTAGATTTCATGAGAAAAACATAGACATCGTGGGTTTCTGCACTGTAAAGAGACACAATGATGAAAAATAAAACAAAAAAATTTCCATTTCAAAAATTTACAATCAACTCTAGCTTTATGGCAATTTTTACTTTGACTCCAGTTCCGAGGAAATCAAATTTTAATAATGAAAACTTTCGGCATAAGCAAGCCTACTATAAAAAACATACGCAAGCCTTCTTTAGTCAACCTAATTTTTTCTGTAAAAAAATTGAATTTCACCATGAAATCTATGAAATTCCAACTTCGACAATTTTTATTGAAAATACGACTCCAGCTCAAGACTCCAACGAATGTCCGTCTCGACAGCCCTGTATACAATTCTACAACACAAGATTGAAAGATACCAAATACTTGGAAGAAAAAACTTACTAATTAATTTATCGTAATCAACCCCTTTTGAACTACTGGACTGTACTTCCCATGGATTAACAATATCTTCTTCAACCACACTTTCTCCATTTTCTTTGATCCCATTCTCAAGTTTATTTTGTTCCGTCATTGTCTGATTGTGGGTATTTTAAGGTTAAGCTATTGAAAAATAAAATTAAGTTATTTCCTGTATTTCTAAATTCATTGTTTGTACATAAATTAAAAAGACAGTTTATCAAACAGAAGTTATGAAACTAACTCCTAGTTTTGAATGACTTCTGGAGTGCATAACAGATAGAGTAGATTTAATTTGATCTCATCTTCCATGAATATATTGCACTAGCTAATAATTTGACAGGGGAAAAAAAAGTGAAATGGCGGCACCAGCATTCCTATGTTCAGATGTTTGGATGAGATTAGAGATTATTCCGATTAGTTGTACATCAACCCTATTACAGAAATATCATATTAATAATATACTTCATTACTAGGGCTGTCCAAGCGAACCAAATATTCGAAATCGAATCGAATCGCAAATTATTCGAATCGTTTTTCGGCTAATTTTCGAATCGCTAAAATTAGGTACCTGTACATAAAGCGGAAACCACCTTTAGGCAAGCGGCGGCGCTCCGAGCTCAGACCACTCTTGCTCCCGTCTTAATTGGTTTCCCGATATTTCTCTCGCCTTCATTTTGTGATAAACATGTCATTACTAATGCCCACCCGGTGGCACGTGATTAGCCATTTCATGCATGGTCATCATAACAAGGTATAATTGGTCATGACGTTTTTGAGAGAGAAAAAGGAGACAATTTAGAAAACGATAGTTCTATAAATAGAATCGATTTGAAGCTGTTGAGTTAGTTATCATAGGAACATGGTACAGGCAACTCAAAGCTGGAACAGGTGTTTTGGGATCCTTATGATGGCAATACCTTCTTTGAATGGAATTTGTAATTTCTTATGATGGCATTACTGTATTATCCATCTATATACCAAGACAAATAATTGCACTCTTGCATTTTGATGGCTGTTGTACACTAACAATATTATAGTCGTCAAATAATATTGTCATCAAACTAGCTTGGAAATTTTAAATGCAATTTTGAACTTTAGCAACAGTTTTATCTATATTGATGGCTGTTATTATTTTGCTGAAATTTACACAGAAAAACATAAGACTAGTGAATAGGATTAAAATAGCATCTACAGGCTTTACATGTCCTATTAAAACTGAATCCATCAAAATTGAGATTGCAATATTTGAATAGTGCAATTTTTACTCTTAACACTCAACAGTTTTCGAGACCCAAATTTTTGAGTCCTCCATTTTTTTTGACCAGTTCATACAAGCGTGTGATCTCCTTTCATAAATCTGAAAACATTGTATTGCAAAATACAAGCAGTAAGTAAGATGTAACTGCACATACGTTACCGGTACCACAACATCGAAGGGCAGATGTTTATTGTATAATGGAGCCAGATTTAATATTGCGCAATAATATTCGATTATTCGGTTCGATTCGGCGAAAATATTCGATTCGATTCGAATCAAAAAATTATTCGATTTTGGACAGCCCTATTCATTACTAATCATTCAATCATTATCTTATTACAACCAAGCTTTTATAAAATTTTAGAAATTTTCAACTTTACTGAAATAGTTTATAACAATTACGGTACATCAGTTTAAGTCTGCCAGTTCATTAATTACCACTTCTGCACTTGTTACACACATTTGTAAACCAGTAAACTGGCAGAGACATGCTCCATCTCAATTATTTAGCAAAGCTTTCTAAACATTCAATATAATATCAGAATAATAAGGATAGGATTTACCGTACCTATTTATCCCGGGGGAGAGGAAAGGCGATAAGACGGCTTATCCATATGGCGAACCACGGCCTCTCCACCCAACGACGGCGAGGAGTCCAGCAATCCTCTCGCACATAACCATCCCTGCATGGGATTCGAACCTGTGAACCCACGCAGAATAATTAGAGGTGCGGTGGCGAGCGTATTCCTAACGCTTAACCCGTTGAGCCACACCGCCGCATAAAACATTTCACTCTGTTATTCAAATAAACAGATTCTAATCAACAGCGAAACATGTCCCAAACATGCTTGTCTTTTAAAAATTTATCTTTTTTTTTTTAATTTAAAATCAAGACAATAAACTTTTTATTAAAACTCTGAGCACATGAGCGTATTACTGCAGCGGTCCGCCCGACTGAGTCTTTCTTATTCTAATGTCTTTAGCGAACTACAAAATGTTATACAAATCGATTAATAGTACCGTGTGTTGTAGCAGTATGCCATTCGTAATACTGTAATCTGTAAAGCTACCAACTGCTGAAAGAGCTATTACAATATTATAACTTCAAATATCTAAATACTCAACGTACTCGTACCACTATCAAATTCTCGTCATTATGTGGAAAGATAAAAGTTCACACAACCACAGCCGAATAATATGAATACACTGTTATAGCCTATACCAGTTATAATAAAATACTTGAATATTGCGCGAATGAAATATAGCCGCAGGCATCATAACCACTTTCAGACTGAAATTTCTGACACGCGTTAGTAGACAGAAAAGATAAGCTGAATGACGATTATTGACCACACCTCAAAAACTCCCCGAAATGACGCAACTAATATGTATGACAATATGGGATTGGGAAGTCTTCAAAAACTGATGTAAAGGCAAACACGCGATGTGATAGATAGTTACAACGGGTGGAGGCTAACTCGCCATGAGGGCTAACTCGCCATGGACCACTCGCCATGCGACGGCGGTTAACGGGTTAGCCTGCAACTGTGTGGAGGCTCTTCTTGTAATGGGAGATGGAAAGGTGGCTGTTTATACTAACAACTTCAATTCCCATTACGAGTTTCCTGCCGTTAATCATTCCGTAGAGCGCGAAATTTTACAGGTGTAAAGATTTGACACCTAGAAGCGCACTGACAAAACCCTATCGAGCATTCCCATACATTTGTTGCGAATTTTGATAGAATATCTTCCGACATCCAAAGTAATTCCGTCAGAATTCAATAATTGCCTTCATAAAATAACGCAAGCAACACGCCATCTGCCGGTTCTGAAGCTTTACATTATTTGAAAAAGCGAACTGTTGTGTTTTGGTTTATTGTAGTTCGGTATGCGAAAGTTATCGAATGCGAAAAAAATCAAATTATTAACTCAATCATAATAATAACTGTGAATCCAATGTACAACAGTGAATATTGCGGGAAGCTGACCATATGGTGGTTCGCTCCCTCTGGTCAATATAAAAACGTGTTCATTTTTTCTTTCTTTGTTTAGGATTGTTTTTGGTTGAGTTAATGAATATATAATTCTGTTAGAGTTAGATCATTCAGTCCCGCTGTATTTATCACCTTCGTATTGCGTAACACCCATCAATCTTACTGCATTCAAGATCCGAGAAATTATGCTACAATATCCAAGATACCTAGTCTAGGTAACCCTGTAAGGAATCAGTCAGATCGACTGGCTACCATAAGAAAACGACCTCGTCTGCCACACTTGGCTATTTTCAACCAGTCTTATTATTTAAACTTTAATTAGTAATTTATAAATGCAATTCCCACTGTGTTAATACAGGATTTATTAATAGCATTCAGTCAACGTGATGATATATGTTGAATTTAAAAACTTAGTGCGTATAAAAAGAAAGAAGTAATATAATATAACTCATACAGAACTCAAATTGTAAATATACAAAAGTAATTATAAAAAATAAGATAGTCCATGCAGAAAAAAAGGGATATATTTAATATGTCTCCTCATGTACAAGGAAGTAGAATAGCTGAAAATCTGAAAGGAATCCAGATAACTGCAGCCACAGCCAAAAATAATACAACACTGGTAGTCCATGTAAGACAAAATAATTTCATACGATTAATGTTATGTACTACTGGGCATGTGAATTATGAAATTTGTATACAGGAAATCAAATGGTTTCACTGATTGGGAAAATCTGTTTGCTAGATGCATTGTTGAAAAAATAATAACAACGAGTGCAACTTCTTATTCTATCAGTTGAAGCCAATAATTGAACCGAGTCGAATTATCGTGGTGATCTATTACATAAATAAGACTTATAGATATTTAAATACGTGTTGTACAATAATTGTGTATATATATACATATATTATATATATTTGGAAGAAACGTGCAACAGACATTTCTAGGGAATGATGTATAACTCTCTTACATGGACTTCAGAATTTGTAAAATGATGATATATACACAAGTTTGTTTTCAGTTCAAGGTGAATATATGAATATAATATAAAATGAAACTTTGGAACACTGAATACAAGACTGTACCAAGGCTTAATTTCGTACCAATTGAAAAATTAAATCAAATATCCACAAAGTCTCTAGTACTGGTTCTGAATACACTTAATTCGGACAGATTACCTAATATACCGCCAGTCATCACCAAATTTTATTAAGGTGGTATAGTGAAATTTGAAGTAAGAAAATTTCCATAATCCAAAATGAACAGACAAGCATGTGAAACAAAAAAATTTTGTCTTCATTTACTCAATCCTGTGAACTCAAGAGTGACTGCTGCTGGAGACTGGAGTCATGTGTGATGTACCTAAGTTCAAAATTGTGAAGCACAAAAATAATTGATAACTTTTCCGAATCAAATTTTGAGCAAAAAGTTAATGACAGCACATGTTATTAAAAAAAAATTTTTTGACTATTTGCGTTGATCAAAATTGTACAACAGTTTATCGAGTGTGGAACAGTAGAGCAAAATGTGCAACAAAATAAAATATGATTTCATCATTCACAATGAAAAGATTTGCAAAAAAACAAACAAAACAAAAAAATTTCATACGATGGGGCAAAAAAATTCTGCAAATAGCGTTCCAACTTGATACAATGTGGCATAGGTTATATAGCGCTGAAATCAAAATCCAAAAATATGTAAAAGTTTATTAAAAAAGCACCAATTTTATTACAGAAACTGCAACTTCAAAAATAAAAAAGGGAGATTGATAATAAAGTAGAACCACATCACGTATCGAAATATTGAAATTGTTGCATCAAATTAGTTAACTTCTAAATTCCGTATATAAGTATGTTTATATATACATTGTTTCTATTTGAATATGCCAATATCCACATGTTTATGACAAATTGACAAAATATGAGGTAAAACTGACACAGTTGATGAAAGAGTAGAATAAAACAATACTATGATCCCGTAAATCGAATATTCTGTTTTCAGATCCAAGTGTGGAATATATCCTGACGTTGATTCGACAAAATAATTTTTAAAACAAAAAAAAGTCTCAGATAGATGGGTATTTGCTTTCACTATTACAGAAATGTTTGTCCACCTTCATAGAGGTTAAAAATTGCAAAAAATTCAAATGAGTATCTCTAAAAGGCACCTGATTGGCAAAATGATTTTGAGCATGTACTGACCAATTCAATTGATGTTGATATTGAAGGATTTTCAACCCTAACATTGAGAAGGTTCAATTACTTCTGTTTTTCAGAATCAAATTAGTGATGCTGATTCCCCATTAGTCAGATTGTTACGTAAAATATTTTTAATATGAACTAGTCTCAATGTGCTGGACAAAATCATATTAAACCATTCATACTGAAAAAAGCAAGACTTTTTTCTAAGATTAATACAAATATGAAGCACCATTCATCTATGTTTGTTGTTCAATTGACATGTATAATATAGTAGTGTGGCTAATCGCCTTGTAAAGATATCAAATAAGCGCCATAATCAATAATTTAAACCGATTTTAATTGCAAAGCACTGCAATCGAGATATGAAGAAGTTGAACTGTGTAAACTATGAATGTAACCAAAGTTAAGATATAAAAAAATGAATACTGTCAATTAAGTGTGATTTTATTGAAAAAAAATCATATTTGCACCAAGCTGAAATGGCTGAATCAGAACACCAAGCAATTGTGAATCAAACATTGTCATCTCATTCTCTCGAAAAATAATTGTTTTTTTATTTGATTTATTGATAAGAGAATTCTCTATGACTCATTGATTACTCAAGAGATGGGTAAAATTGAAATACTAATACTAAGGTTCAGATGACTGTTATCAGCAATTCTCACAACGCATTCCATATTGATGATAATCCTTCTTTCTGAATCAAGGAGTTGATGGACACTTCCTCGCAAAATTTAACAAACTTTGAACTTGGCTATGTGAAATATCCATTTTGACTCATTTCAAATTCGTTGAAATTGTTGATCTTTGCACTGTGGCCCAAAACTTAATTTTTCTGCAATCTCTGGGTATATAACAAAGTTTAATGGACCCATGCCACTGCCCTGCATCATCCACTCTTGTCAGGAACATTGAAGTGCTGTGACTTGCACTGCAAACTACAGTTGTCAAAATATCAACCATTCATCAAATCAAGAGATGCTTTATCTATCTTGTTTCATTAAAGAAACAATACATGAATGATGAGTAGCTTTGTTAAGAAATGGATGCTTTATGAGCTCATAAGCTGTGGCCCGGTGTGATGGATCTCGAACTAACATTCTATCCAGGAAGCCCTTTAGCATGGATGATGCCTGAAAATGTAAAAGTTAGGTTCAGTGTTCAGTTTAAATACATAATAAAAAGGAAATTTATAATAATAAAAAGCGGATTTATTTATGTTATCAGAAATATGGCTTACAAGCCACAAAAAAATTTCGTGCCAAGGCATTGACAGTGGTTCTAGGTAGCTACAGCCAATGACATTTCAACAAATTCGGAAAACAATGAAACACAAATTTTATTGTCAAGGCATGAGGAAATTTAGCAAAATAAAAATATTTTAAATGAAAAGTATCATGCCTTCATGGTACCAAGAAGAATAATTACATAAGCTATTTCAAATATGCTTACTCGGCTCGGTGGTGTGGCATATCGTGTTAAGCGTTAATTTTTGCAACCGTACACCTCTGATTACCCTGCCGTTCGCAGGTTCAAATCTCGCAAAGATAATTATGTGTGAGAGGATTGCTGCACTCCTAGCCGCCGTAGGATGGTTCACGTAACTGCTGGTCAGTTACGGCTTCCTCCACCATCAAGTCCATGCATCTGGAACAAGTAACTGGCTACCTAATCCCATACCCGACATGGACTGGTAACTGGATGAGAGGCTGTGATTCGCCATGTAATTAAGTCGTCTTATTGGCTTTCCCCTCCCCTGGGATAAATAGGAGAGTCCTATTCCTATCAAACAATTTTTAAATATTTAGATATTTTTTAAATTATTATTACCTTCTGATAATTCTTCATTTTTGGAGGAGGCATGTCTCTTATTCTCCTCATAGCCTGTAGTGGAGGTTCATTGAAAAATGGAGGTTCCCCATCCACCATTTCAATCACCATAATTCCGAGTGACCAAATATCAACTTCTGGTCCGTACCGATAACGTGAGATGACTTCCGGGGCCATCCAATATGGAGTACCAACTAAAGACTTTCTTTTCGGAACTTCTTGGGAAATTTGAGCACAAAAACCAAAATCTGACAATTTGACCTGAAAGGAAAGATTTGCGAAAGTTAGGGAAAAAAATGAAATTCACATAAAGATGCAAACACATGCATATTATGAGGTCACACTACTATCCATCAAACTTTTGTTTTGTTAGATAATTACTGTATCCTATCAAAGGATTTCCGAATCATCAGGAGAATTTTAAAATGTCCAATTTCAGAGAATTAGGTATCTATATATATATAAACCAGAAATTTTGAGGTACGTAAAAAAAATACCACTGAAAATTGGCAGCAAAAGTAATATTTATTCACCAGAATCTAGACATCATTTAATTTTAGCAGTGTCAAAATCAATATCAACAAAAATACCTTATCTGAAATAAAAGATAGAAGAGCAGAAAAAGTTACCTTTCCATCATGTGTTAACAATATTGAATCACTTTTAATATCCCTGTGAATAACTCCTTGATCATGTAAATACGCTAATGCTTGAAGTACTGATACACAAACGGTTGCAATTTGTTGCTCATTCATGCGTGTCTTTGTTACAATATCTGTCAAAGCACCGCCTTCAAGAAACTCCATGACAACCCAAAGTTCGTTGTCCACTATAAAACTGCTGTACATGTCAACTATGTTTTCATGATGATATTCACGCATTATAACAACCTGAACATAGAAATAGAAGTAAAATAAATATTCAAAAAAAAATTAAATTGTTTCTATTTCCTAATGTATTGCCATATAAAACATTTGTAATATTCATGTAAAAATAACAACTGACGATGGAAAAATCAAATAATAACTGTGATTTTATAGATGTGTGATAGCCAATACATTTCAAATTATCCCAAGATATTTCAAGACTTGAGATGAAGTGAAAATATTAAAATAATATATAAACAACATGACAATTACGGTACAAATAAATCCTACTTTCAATCAATAATCAGTTCATTCGAATATCCCTAAATCATTAATCAAATTTGTACATAAGAAGAGAAATATGTATACAATATCAGTATAATATTGATTTTGTACACAGTTCACCGAAAGAAACTGTAGATATTTGATAAAATATACATATTTAACAATTTCATACAACTGCGTAAAATTTACCACAGACAAATAGCATAGTATCATATGAAACAATGCCACCAAATTGTGAAGAATTTGGATTGATGTTATTTGCATCCACCAGCCTTTTGACATAATTTGCTCTTTTCGCATGAAAGAAAATTTTCAGAATCTCCCTCTACACAAATTCTGTACATGCACTTTATGGTTAAACAACTACTTGGCACTTCTAACTAACTACTTGTTTATTACCTCATTAAACAGCAATTCCCTTCTTTGTTGTTTCCTAAGATCCATTTTCTTAACTGCAACCTGACGTCCAGTACCACGTTCCGTTGCGATACAGACAATACCAGTTGAGCCTTCTCCAATTTTAATAAAATTTTCAAGACTTTCTCTTGGATCTCCAGGACATACAACCATCTGAAATTAATTTTATTACTACCATAAATTTTGTTATTATTCAAAAATGTTGCAAAATGTTATAAAAGCAGATGACAATTGTCCAAAATTATATAAGTCAATCAAAATTTCAAAGTCATTATCCCATTAAATTAGAATTGTGGACTCGAGGAAAATTTATGACCATGACTCAAAGCCATTTTACTCTCGACTCTGAGTACTGGTAGGTAAAAACGCTCTCGACTTGGATTGGTGGTTCCAGACCAAAAGCAATTTCGACTCCAATTGTAGACAGTCTATTGGGATGTGCCATTTCTGCCCTCCTGTTTCTATGCCATTTCTCCCTACCTGTATCAAACATGTTTGTGGTATTTTCTATTAAACTGATTGGAGTATTTGGTTGTATTAAGATCTTTGTTAACAGTTAGACTTACATTAGGTTAAATGTATTATGCTTCATTCACAAACATTGGATTTATACAAAGACACTCAAGTTGGTAATCTGTAAAGAATCTGCTCATCAGACTTCCCACCACAGTCTGCAAGCATTCCTACTTCCCATTGATAATGTAAATTTAATGTTGTCAGTTTTCGGCTAAAATCTTGACCTCATTTATCATCATTAGAGGTATGATCTGAATTCGGTTTCAAATAAATTCAAAGTCTCTACTTCGGTCCGACTCCTGGGGATTCGTAAATATGCCTCATAGCGAGTGGTGTTCGACGTTTTGGTGAAGCGAACCCCAATGAAAAAATTCGAGGCTCGAGGAACCTGTGTGCTATAGTTAAATTGTCTGTATAAACTGCATAAATTCTATATAAGGGCCATTCCAAGCAAAAGTTGAATTCCATCAAATTTTTAAAAAGTGTAGTGAAAGTAATTTTTTTTTTATTTTTGATATCAAAAGACATTGGAATTTTATTGGACTGCAGGTTTCACCCAGGTTTTTGATGGTTTATAAGAAATGGCCTGAAATATAGAAATTTTGGTATAATTGACATATTTTGTGATGATTCCTGACACAAAGTGTTTGATTGTGTGGTACAGTTATTTTATTTGGAATTGGCGCACTGGATTTAAGTTAATAAAGTTTAAATGTTTGCAGTGCTGTAGGACATTTCTTCACCCATTTAACGATTTATTACCAGAATTTTAAGAGATGATAAAGGCCGCTATTCTGAAGTGGAGAAATGTCCTGTAGTGTCACGTCCTGTAGTGTCACATACAATATGCACATTATTGGCATGGATTTTCAGTGTTACATTAAGTAACTTGAGCAACACATAAAGGGGTAGTTCAGCTACTGCACCAGAAAATATTATGGGCTCCTACTGTACCATCGCAAAAATTTACAGCACAACACAACGTACTGTTAGTGCATGGTGGATTTGCCGTCCTGTAGTGTCATGCTATATTTTACTATATTTTTTTTATCTACTAAGTAAGGTTGGGTCTAACTTTTGTGCAATTTTTCACATATTCAATAAAGCAACTGATTGGACAATGAAACAAAACATGTAGCTGAAAATGTGAAAATATATTGAATTTAACAACATGCAAAATTTCTGGAATTGTCCTGTAGTGTCACTTGGAATAGCCCATAGACTCTGGAATTTGAACGGGAACTTAGGGGACCCCTGGTCTGTACTGGCGGAACCCTGGTTTGAAAACAATTGCCCCAGGCTCTGACTCAAATGTCGGGTAAAACTTTCCTGGTACAAAGCACAAGATACACATTTGCGAATGTTTACCTGCAACGCAGATTTGAACTGTTCGTGAGTAACAACTTGCTGATCCTGATGATCTTTCTGCTGTTTAGCAAGAGCTGATTGTGCTGCTGGTGGTGGAATGGAATCTGATGGAGCATCACGATGATGTCTACTAAAAAATATTTTTAAGTTTAAAATACTCAGTCAACAAAAGTGAAATGAAGCTAGAACATTTATTTGATTGTAACAAAACCTAAATTTGACCAATGGAATCAAAAATCGTAGTATATAGCTTGAATGTTTAAATGCTAAAAACAATATGTGTTAATTTAATCTTAAATACCGTATTTTACAAACCATAATGTATGAATCAGGTTGGGTCTTTATTGCCCATACTCAAAACCAATACCAGTACCAATAGCACCTTGAATGAAGCCTGGTGCGCCTACATGTAGACACAACCTCATTCTGAGCAGGCTATTGATGGTGCAATTGGAGCCTTATGGTCTGTAAAATCTGGTAATTTTAAGTTATTTTTCTCCTCTTTTCCCACATTTTTGTTTCAGAATTCTCTTATTACGTAATGAATGAACAATCAAAACTGAAGTTGAGTAATATTCGATAATAGGCAAGGCTTCTCATTTATGATCTTCCTAACTTAGACATCTACAATTTTAAAGAATATTAAAATCTAATTTGCATAATCAATTATTGTTGAATAACTCTCACCAATAATATGTGATATTACATAAGCCTTTAAAAAACTATTCATGATTACAGAATTAACCGCCAATATCATAGCACAAACTTATGGAGTAAAAATTCACCAATATATTTACCATTATGCCACAAGATATGTGTTGGTCAATGAGTAATCAAACTACTTTAGGTTGGCCAAAGATTAAATAAACAAATCTCCCAACAAGGAGAGAACAATCACACAGCAATTACCGGTGGCACAAAAATAGTATGACCTGAGGCATAATGTGAGCCAAACAACAGGAATGACTGACAACCGCATGAACAAACTAAATCATACTTTGAATGATCATTTCCACAATTTTGAAAGTAGCAAAAGAAAAAAAAAAAAAGTTTATAACATCACACAGGTGATTAAAAATACACATTTGCCAACGAAAAGTCGTTTGAAGTTTATATTTTACAAAACAAGATTATATAGACAAAAAAACAAAAAATTGACTGTGATTTCACTTTAAAAGGCTTTATTAATCAAGAGTCATTGTTAGCTGCTGATGCTGATTGGATATTAAGTAAAATGCATCCCAAATTGAAATGAAAAAGCTACTTAGTTAGTTCTTTGGTATTAAAACAGCAAATTGCAGTTTATGAACACAACCCTTGGTAAAATTTACACTTTTAAATTCATTTACTGGAGATTATTCACAAAATATAATATCAATCATAATATGTTCTCTTGGTTATTTCAATATGGATCTTATTATAACTAAATACCTTGATTCATTGCGATGGTCTCCTCTGTCATCTTTGCGTCTTCGATGATGCGTATCCTCCCTGTCTGAATGTTTTCTGTGATGCGTATCATCTCTTTCCGTGCGGTGATTGTTATTTTGTTGTCTTCCATCTTGAGGAGGCATAGGTGGAGGTACATTAGGACGGTGCGATCTTTGATGATCATGCTTGTTAGGTGAAGCATTGGTGTGATTCGTTGGAGCACCTTGAGGAAAACTTTTAGGTAGTTGCGGAGGAACGGTTCCGCTTCCCCCACTCACAGAAGACCCTCGACTTGAGTTACTATTTCTAGAGTTTGCAATGTGATGATTGTAAGATGGAGGTTCTTTCTGAAAGAAAAATATTCAAACGAAGTTTTAGCGTTGATATAATGAGGGACAGGTTTATTAAACAGAGAAATCTGTGTACTGACAATTATAATTGATATTTATGATCAATACAGCAAGAGTCACAATTCCGTTACAAAAGCTAGAAAGGAAACTCATTTATGAAATAACAAGTGTATAAAGACAAAATGAGCAGTTTTATTTTATTCTGAATGAATATTTGTGAAATCATCTTAATATAAAATCCTTCATTGTGCTATAAAGAACTTAATGTAAACTTTTTAGGACTAGGTGACTTCATTTTAGCAAGGCTTGTAATTTAGCCCAGCATAAACTCAATTCTGGACTTGGACTGGGTAGCAGCAGCACTGAATGACTAAGTCAATGTCTTTTCAAAAAATTAGTAAAATAAAATATTGAACTTTTGGCAAACTGAGATTCGTTTTATTTTTAAAATCACAAATAGTTAATACTCACATGTTCTGGACGAGGTGGTGGGTCTTCGTGTTGTTTTTGCTGATAAACATCTTGAGTTACAGGATGGGCAACTGGTCCTAAATGTTTGAGAGGTAAACCACCTGTATTGATTGGTATATTCGGTTTTCTAAGGTTCTGTGGACTTCTATGGTGTTCCGCTGCAAATATAATCAATACCAAGAATCAAAATTTGCTATCACCAGAATAGTGATATTATGTGCAGCACAATGTTTTAGATAAAGTAATATTTTTTAACAAATACTTCTATATTTCAGATTTTAAAAAAAAAAGCGCAGAAGGCATTTCAAAAACATGTGAAAATTCTGAAATACGTATTTAAAAACTTCCCAGGTATATTTAAAGCGACAATATTAAAAAATCAGAAATTATTGTTCAGGAAACAATGTGATGAATAATTTGATATCTTCAGTAGTTTTCTCCATGTTCTGTGTCATCCTCGCAAAAGCATTTAACATTTGTGGCCCGCTACTAATCTATGAAAATAACTAGTTTTATTTTCATTAGTGCATTTCCCTCAGTTGTTTCTTGCAACACACTTGATAATAAAAGTCAACTAACAAAATAAATCCACTATTGTCAAAGAATTAAACAAATGGCAGTCAATCTACTTTAAATTAATGTAATCGTGGCAAATGGCATGAAGGCCTTTGCTTGTAGACCCCAGGGGACCGACCCATGGCCCCCCAAGGGGGAAAGTTTAGGAATACCTGCTCTATAGGCCTACTGTTGTGATTTATGCAATGAGATGAGATTTTGGAATTTAAATTATATAACATACAACATACAATTCGGTTGAGGAAAAAAAAAGATTTTTTTTGCAATTCAATCCAACTGAACTTTGTTCCTATTGAATATCGTTCATATATAATGAGTATTTGGATTGAAATACATACCTGTACCTAAAATTAACTATAGTATAACATAATATTTTGGTAACTCTAAACCCAACTAATACTAATACTACATCTTATGAATTATTTACATTGTAGGGCTAGCCTTGGAAATGTCAATACAAAAATGCCCGGGGAAACCAGGTACATATATTACATTCTACAGTCAGTGGGACAAACAAAATTCTTTACAATACTCTCCAAATACAACAATATGTCAACATTTTGAATTGCGCAGTCTGTATTGACATGCAGAAATAACTATATCTAAACGAATGAATAGTATGGCAATCTATCAAATTGTAAAACATGATAAAGATAATTACAGTAATCCTAATCCTATATTGTCTTGACAAAATTTCAAGCCATGAAAGGCAAATCTTTTGACGGCAGCATTAAGGATATCTGAGTTCTAAAAAAGCTTACCGGTAATTAATTTATCTTTTCAATTTGTTTAAAACTACAGAATTCCAGCCTATGGCTAGAATACCAGATCGATCTCATGATTTATAATTATGTTTTGTTTTTCAGATTTTAGTACATAAGTTCTATATAATCTGCATATTGATAATATGAACTACTAGTCTATGAATATGTCTAAGATGCAACAATCTTGTATTGCAGTGGTTCCCAAACTTTTTAGAGTTGGGACCCACTATTTTTTACCACAGTTTATGGCGACCCATTTAACTTTAATAAATTAATAAAACATAGACGGAGGAAACAAATTTATTTCCTCAAATTGAATTTTCAGTGAAGCTTGTTTCTTGCTATTTTCCATAATAGACTTGACATTTATATCAATTTCAGATAGTTTCAGACGTGAAAAATTGAAAAGTTGCAGTTTATTTCAAAATTTGCTTTTAAATTTGCTTTGCCACCGATCCTGATAACCAGTATAATTAATCAAAGCTTTCTACATCTTTTCACGACCCACTGAGATTCCTCTTGCGACCCACCAGTGGGTCGCGACCCATAGTTTGGGAACCGCTGTTGTATTGTATAGTTTTGAAAATAAGGGCTGAATTACATCTATTGCACTCTCCGCCAGGCTTGGTTTTACATTCATGAATAAATTTGACTGTTATATTGTCATACAAAATACTTTAGCTAGCTCTAATTCCAGAAACGAAACTGCATGGCCAGTCAGGACCTCACAGATTTGATTTCATCTCATAACTAGAGGAGAATTGTGTAAGTCAAGGCTAATGAGATGATGATGATCTTATATTCGAAAAATTTGAGAGTGTAACATATGGATTTCTGAATTTTCAGACAGAAGATGATCAATTAAATTAAACATCATATAATAATAATATAGAATGTAAAAGTAAAACATTGTGGTTAACTTTCCGATAAATAGTCGTACAACCTACGGTAAGTAAAGTTCAAAAGGTCATCAACAGCATACTTACCTGAATGTTTAGGCAACGTTTTGTTATTTCTTTCATCTAATCTTTCCTTCGATCTCTCTCTTGTTCTATCAAGAGTTTGTGACACAGGAAGCATTGGTTGTTTAGGAGATCGATGATGTCGTCCATGATCACTCACATCATGTCCTGAAAACATTGAAGAATGCTGTTGCCAATAATATAATTGAAACGATTAAAAAAGATTGCATCAACTAAAAATCCACTTCATACCCAATGCAACATTGGAAAAAATGAATACAAAAACGAATATTTTAGAAATGACAGACTCAGGCTCACCTGGACCTTTATCAGGTGTAGTAAAATTATTAGATGAAAACATGATTTTTTTGTATATACGATACATCTTTAACAAAACAAAAAATAAGGTAAAACACTATGACTATGAAACATTGGATGGGCAGGCTAACCAATTTAACAGACATTTTCATTGCCCAGTGGTTCTTGGTGAAGATGTAGGTTGATAAGCTTACACTCAAAAGATATTATTAACTATACAGAGCAAATACTACTCCTGGAACCAACTTTTCAGTGTCTTTTCCCTTAATTTCCATCATTATTTTAATCTTGAAGACAGAAAATGTATGATTTTTATGAGGTCAAATTCTGATTTGGAAACAAATGATGACTTCATTTCAATCACTTTTTAACAAGTTTTTACAATAATATTCAAAAAAAACAGAAGCGAAACAAAGTGTATTGATCATATTAGCTAATAAAAAGTTATAAGAATATATTGGAATTACAACTGTACAAACTTAACACGATTTCATTTTTTTACAAACTAATAATAAGGTTATGAAAGCTGATATCTATACTTTTATTTCAGATCCGGTTTAAGGAAGCACGGCACGCGATTTTTAAAAAAACAGAAGTGAAACAAAGTGTATTGATCATATTAGCTAATAAAATTTATAAGAATAATTGGAATTACAACTGTACAAACTTAACACGATTTCATTTCATTACAAACTAATAATAAGGTTATGAAAGCTGATATCTGTACTTTTATTTCAGATTCAGTTTAAGGAAGCACGACACGCGATTATGCATTTATGGAATTTCCCATGTGATAGTTAACAAATGTGCATGTCAAGATATGATATTTAGAAATGACAGAAGTTACTAGTTGACCTGTGTTCAAAATTCAGGTAACTTCAAGTCAAAAGTACATTCTTGAAATATTCAAAGTTGGTGGAAAATTTCTTGGAATGAGATCCAAATCCATCTACTACTTAAAAACTTCCTCGAAATGCATTTTGCGAAAAAATGTCAAATTCTCATTAACAAAAATGTCAGCAAAAAGCGTACAAATTCTGATGTAATCCTCGAAAATAAATTTTGTTGAAGCAGTTTAATAAATTTCAGATATATATCTACCAATAAGTTATGCAAAACTAAGGTGATTCATCACAATATAATTCATAATGAAATTAGGAGACTAACAGTTTGAACAAAATGGTCCCTTGAGATTATAATATCATTGTTCCATACCAATAACATTACACAGGCTATATTCCACTAGTAGTTTTTGAGCACCTGATATAATATTCCAAAGCTGAATTAGGAAATTGTGAACTAAAATGTTTCTTTCTTGACAAATTGATAATATCGGTTTAAATTGACATTGGCACAAGTATGCTATAAATACATAATTTAGATCCTGAAGGAAAATAATGAGTCACACAACATTTCTGCTTGGAAAAATTGAGAAAAGGTATTTTATATTTTTTTCCCATGATAATATTTTTTTTATATATCGACCAATCGCAAATTGTATCAAATGCTTGACCTGCCACTGGAGAAATATAGCCTAGGTGATGTTCTTGGTTTGAATGATATGATTTTCATCAATGAAAATATTTTGAATAAAACAAGGTACAAGACATATGCTATCACATTATATATTTACCCGGCAGTGTAAAACATGGCATACAAATCACTCTATAGATCAACAAGAATATTACTGAATAAGGAGTCTGATCAAATTTACTATGATACATTGTTTACATATACAAGCATCCCTTCCTAAAAGTACAAGTTTCTCTCATGAGCAGTGGGCCGTGTGATAGTTAGACATACACAGTTAAAATGATTAGGATAATGTTAGACATTCCTGAAATTCCAATTTATTAATCATATTCCATCAACTAACCACACAATCTAAAACTACACAGCCAAATACAGTCAACCATCTTTACATAACCCATAATTAAATCATTGCATTGACACCAGTAACTAATCTAATTGAAATAATTGCACAGAGCTTATTCAGAATTAGACTGTACAATTTAACCATACAATGGAAATCATGTTATATTCCAGATGAATAAAAATTTTTGCCTAATAGCAGCGACTTAGACTGTACCATGTACAGTGTCACATCATAATTGAAGATTCTAAGGGTCTGTTCACAACAATGAAAATTTGAGTAAATAAATCCTTATGCAATTTGGCATTTTAAATCAATTTGTATAATCATTTAGATCATCTCATTTTAAAGTAGTCTAAATATAAAATCTAAATTTTAAATTTCCTTTCACACAAAGAGAGATTTCCAGCATACAGAATGATAGCCAAAAGTGAATGATTTCAAATTTCGTTATAATTATTGTCATTATTGTTGTTTTATTATTTATAGCAAAATTCATTAATAAAATCACTACTAAGTTGAATAAAACTTTTTCAATGATATAATCAATTTGATTTTCATTAAAGCTCAAGGGAATTGAATGAAGAACCAAGAAAAAAAGTTTTCAAGCATACAGCAATATAAAACCGCATGATTTGGTGGATCAAATTGTAAAAATATGTCCATCATCTTGTATATTGTTTTTCACCTGGTGCAAATATACAACAGCTGAACAAAATGTCATTTCCTTAATTTTGTTATTATAACAATATACCTAAATTCACGTGTTAATATATTTCTAGGTTCATAATGATTAGTGAAAATCAGTTTACGCTTTAGCTACCACTATTTTGAATTGCCTGCTTGAAAGTCACTCAAGTGCATCTTTCTGAGACAACAAGTGCTCTTTACTCTCGTGCTCGCACCATACTAACCATCCAAGATATTTTCACCGGTAACAAAACTCGCGCAGAAGACTTTACTCATAAATAACAAGCCAGGAACATGCTTGAAGTATACGAACATTTTTCCAGACTTTTTGATTTAAAAAATTCAATAATTTGAAAGCATATTCATATATAAACTAACTTGGTACGTATGACGCTGCCATCTTTGATGTGAATACCTATTAATTGCAGGTACGGTAAATATCACCAATATAAATATGGTATGTAATGAGACCTGCCATTTTGGTAACCAAAAGCCCAACGCTTGAGTAACCACAAGACTCATCATTAATACAAATAACGTTAATGGAAAGGATTTGGGCTATTTCAGACCATGCAATTCTTATACTAGAAAATTTTAGATATTTTACCTTGCTGTGCAGGGTCCTCATTTTCTCGCTGAGAATAAGATTTCTGTCCAGGCGGTTTACTTGATTTATACCATTCCTCATCATGTGAATTTTTGTCTCGGCTTGAATGTTCCCGGGAATAATCTTCCTTCCTATCATCAGAGACAGCACCGTTTATCTTTGGATTATATTTCGAAGGTAATGCTTCATAGTTTCCCCTTGATGACGATTTATTATCCCGCCTCCTCGACCTGTCATCTGAAAATTGCATATCTCGTTTCAAGGCCGCTATCCAATGTATTTCTTATAAATAACGAATTGCAGGATAGAAGTGATAGATTTATAGGCTACCACACAGTGAATATTGTCTAAACGCACTTGTTTTTCTGTCTACTGGAACATTCTATATATCCAAAACTAGCTGTGTGTGTTCCATATTATTGCCAATTAATTTTTAGACACAAATATTTAAGGAGTATTTTACCAAAAACAGCATTCAATATTATGCAGGCAGTCCATATCAGGACCATATTTCATATATTATTCTTATGGTTTGTAATATAACATAAAAAGGTTATTAAGAAATAGGATTTACTTGCACAGAAAAATTTCAAAAATATTTCAAATTGAAAGTATTTAAAAAATACGGCAGAATGTCAAAGTTTAATAAGAAAAAGTCTAAGACGTAAAGTCGAGGGTGCGTCACGAGTTACAATTGTAATGTTAAACTATGGAAGAATAGTGTTGACAGGCACAAATAAAAAACTTTCATTATATCGTACATTGATCGTGTTAAGATATTTAATTATAACTAAATATATATTTTATCTATGTAAGATCTATGTTGTTAGTAAAGTGCTAATAATAAAAATAAAATACATTTCTTACCAGTTTTATCACTATACTTTTCATGTTCCTCTCTTTGTCCATTTCGATCACTGTCTTTTCTTCGTTCTCTTTTGTCATAATTCTTTGATGATGAACGACCATCGTTTCTATCCGAGAGAGTTCTATCATAATTATCTCGTCTATCTCGATGGGATCTTGACTGATCAGACAAACTACTTCCACTATCTCTAGCATCCCTATAATTCTGCTGATTGCCTGAACCAGAAGAACCATGGCGTTGTCTATCTCTGTAACCCCGATGAGATTCAGAGCTATCAGATCCATGTCTGCTGCTATGGTGACGTGATCTATGTTCCTTACTGTCACCATGAGAATGTGAATCGCCATAGGAACGAGAGTCTGATGTTTTACTTGAATGACGCTGTCTCTCACTACTTCGTCTAGTTGTACCATTCGATCCATCTTCCCGTAACGGATCGGGTATTCTGAAAATAAAAATTGTGTATTGACAACAGTATATTCATAATAGCATGTTAGTGAACAAAATTATGATAATATTTGTTTAAGAATAAAACTTATGAGTATGAACTGAGTTACATATGTTAGTTATTTTTTAATAAGGACTATTTACAGTAAATGAAATGTGAAAATCAATGTCTTGAATTCCCAAAAACCAACATTGTTTCCAATGCTAATTGCTAATCTTTATTATGTACCGGTAATTAGCATTTACAAAAATATGTGATTTTCAAGTTTTCAATTTCAAGTAAACAAGTTGCCATAACTGGAAACAATAGTTCATAATCTGCATTAAAAATTCTGTGGCTCAATCAACCAAGTTGAATTGCATTTATTGCAAGATTGCCTTTAACCAGATTCCTATCAAACAATTTCCTTGTTTCAAAATTCCTTACGTAATTCCCAAAAGATAAAGATCGATAGCTTTCTGGAACCCTTTTTTACTATCGTAATTAACTTGCAATTTTTCCTTATTGATGGAAAAAATTCAAGACATAAATGCAGAGTATATAGCATAAACAGATCTTATCATATATATCACCATAACGCTAGATTTCACCCTAGCAACAAAACAGCGAGTTATTACCATCAATCAAAGTGTTTCTATATTTCAGGTCTACTACCACATACTAAGACCACTATTGTAGGTGTTTCTATGCAGTAGATTGGTTAAAATGTGCCATTGAAATTATGCACAGAATTTTAAGTTTTGATTGACAAAGTTGTATTACCGTATGTTTTAATATTCATCTCCCAATTTGAAGCAATATCAAATAGTACAGCAAGTATAAAACTTATTAGATCACAATCTAGCCCTAGTGTGTTATGGCATTTCCAAGTATGGACAATCTTATTCTAACAAGGGTATTGATATTGAAAAAAAAACGAATAAAGCAGAAAATATGTAATTGTAAATATAAATATCATTGTTGGAAAAATAATCAGACACACAAAAATGTATACAGGATATTTCTAGAGTTCCAATTTTGTTATGAGAAGTCAGTTCTCAATGTATCTTAGTCAAGTTTGTTTCGTTTTATTCCGTTTTTTAGGATTTATTACTTCATTTAATACAGCATAACATGGTTAAATCACCTATGCGATTAATTTAGATTTTTAGCATATATTGTTATTATTTTGACAGTAACTTCTTGCAGTTTTGCTACAGTTTTGTAAATTTCCTTTCTTAATTAAATTTAAACTGCTTTTCTCAATTTCTTCTGCCTATGAAAAGTTATCATTATCAATGACGGTTTACCACAAAACACACATACTTCGAGATAATATAGATTGGTGATTTCCTGTCATAGTCTGACAAATAAGTGTCAACAGTATAATTTGGTTTTGTGTTGATCAAGTATCAAGTGAGTACTTCAAGACACACTATCACCTAACAAATTTGTATCTATAAAATATCAGTGACAAAACTACGCATGTTCAACTAAAAATAATTTTTACAATTGAAATGTCGTCATATTATATATTTATAGCATGGCAGACGAGCCGGTGTGTCAATTTACTTTATAAATTGATCCAATTTATCATAATAAAATTACATCAGACAGAGTCATAGGGGAATTTTTACTCATTATGACATCAATTTAGCAATCGAAAATAACCTGCAAAATTGTTTAAAAACTAACAAGTAGTTCAGACTAAAGTGGGAAAATTTATTTTACAAACTTACTTAAGTAATAAAAAAAATCAAGGAATGGATTATTTGATACAATTAGTATGATTGTCCTTGAAAATTTTCATATAATAGTTTGAAAAAGGGACATATTTAGATATATTTTTAAATATTTACTACGCTCGAATGGTTTGATATTTTAAATCTTGCAGATGTGTATATAATACCAGTCCTGTTTATTATTACAAATTATACATGCTCGATTATTGATCTTAAATTAACATAAACAATAATCAGCATTTGGAGAATTTAAAAAAAAATCAATTTTTTTTTGTTGCTTTTAAATGGAGCTCTTGATTGCTGTATAACATTATATTATGCAGCTTACATGGATACATAACAAGATGACAAGATAAAATTTATAAAATAATACCAGGCCATAACACAAATTCCAATTCCAATTTGCTGTCCCATTCTCAAAAGTGTATCAAGGTTTTGAGAGAGTTTTTGCAAATTAAAAAGTATCATCTTTGATATTCAAGCATCTTTAGCATGAATTGAAATTTAATATTGAAAACCCAAGCAGCTTATAAAAAGTAATGAAAAATCTAGCACATGTTATTCACATAGTATGGATGCAAAACATGATTTAAAAGACCTTCAGAAAAATGTCAAGTTTGTCATGTTTGGATAGCAAATTTGACATGTATCCAAAGCAACAAACAATTCCAGCAATATACATTTAAGACAAAACACAAATGAAAGAGAAATATTACCTGCTGTCTTCAAGTTTTCTTGTAAGTTGAGGGCTTTCTTTTCTGAGAGAATTTGACCGAGTTACAGTAATGTTCGACAAATTAGGAAGGGCTCCATTTATACGTTTGTGGGATTTACTTTTGGAATACTATAAAAAAAAAAGTGAAGATAGTAAAATGCATTTATTTTTGTTACATATTTATTGTCATTCTAAATTTCGGAAAGCTCTTTTTTATTTACAATGTATATATAAAACAAGTTGTTGTAAGGTTGTGGAATCTGCAGATCAAAGAAATTGAGATGTGAGGATTTAGATATACGGATTACAGATTTAGATATAAAATTAAGAGACGGGATGAATTGGAAAGTATTGTATACAAGATTGAAAAATCTTTACAGAGCAATAATATTTATTGATCTCGAAAACTACACAAGATAGAACATTTTTTAAAAGACGCATAAATAAATATAATGCCATTTACCTCATCAGGCACCGGAGTGAAAACTGAGGCATCGATGTATGGTTTGGGACGAGCTTTGTCAGGTATTATACTTTGCCATTGTAAAGGTAATCCAGTGAATTGTCCTTCTTCAGTATCAAATCCAGTGTGAACCCGGTGCTCAAAGTTTGAGGGTTCTGATATTTCAGGACGTCTTTTCTTTTTCGAGAACATGATTTTACTAACTATGGCAAATACCAAACCTTAAATCAGAGTCATTTTATTAATAGCTATTTTTGTATTTCTATGGCACCTGTTTTGCAATATTGACACGCATGAAAAATACTTGAAATGTTTTTGAAATCCATTTGAATCTTCACATAGCAAGCACTTCAATGAATAAATTTGAGGAATAATCTAGATTTTTAAAATCTCAATTTCCAGATTTTAAAAGTTAGAAACAAGGAAAATATCAAAATCAATCAATCAAATCGACATATTTGGGATGAATAGATAACTTGCTGACTTCTGGACTTGAAATAATTCAAAAAATGATCCATTACTATACCCAACTGGCCATCTTTATGCCAGATCTCATAATGTACGGTAAGGGTACCGCACCTTGCGTACAATGAGTCCACAAGAGTAAACTAACAGGGTCTGCGTAAAGGCATAAGCCTCAGTACGGTAGTTTCTCAGCACTAGGCTATACAATACGGTAATTGTTATATTTTGACATATATTTCATATAAGTTTGAGTTCTATTATTAAAATTTTTTTTAATTAAATTGAACAGCATTACAGAAATTTATAAATGGAATTACTTCCACTACTGAACTTCGGTACGGTACGGTAGCGTGCCGTACGGTACGCAGTACGTACAGGTAGCTTTGCGTTTTACAATCTACAGTTACCCGTTAATCAGAGTCCCGTTCTTCTTTCCTTACTGAATTTACGATACCGTTACGCCAAATAAATTCCAATGCCAAACGGAATTTTCGTATAAATATTTTGGAATCGAATCATTTTATTTTAAATACATAGTTTTGTTTCCGTGTTTTTTTTTTCAATTTAAATCACATTCCCCAAAAATATATGAATAGTAGAGTAAAAATCCAAATAAATACCATACCGAAACCTTTTGAAGTTGCCGCAAGACCGTACTAAACTGACTGAGCCACAGATCTATGAATATGCTAGTTTTTGTTTATCGAAATAAACAAATAATACCAATTTAGTTGCATGAAGGGCCCAATTTTCCAGCTAATTTAGGTTCCATCATAAAATGTATGACTATACAATACAAAGGAACGTACGTTTTAATCCTTTCTTGAGGTTTTATTCGCTTTCCTGATTCTGTAATCGGTGTTATTTTGTTTTTATCAATTATTTTATCGTCGTTTTGCTGATTATGGAGTTAGAGACTTAAAATAAACTTGAATAAATAATATTAAAGGTCATCATATCGGTACTACTACTAATGACATCAAACAACCTTGTAATGTTGTTTAATGTCATTGGTACCACAGTACTGCGTTCTCAAATTAAAAAAATTCGTCCTTGTAAAACAAAACTACATCGGATTTCGCCAAATTGCACTCTTGTTTGAACCTGCGAAAACCACGCATAGTCATAGTCAAGTTTATTTTTTCCATCCAGTAAAAAAAGTTAACATGCAAAATTAAGACGAATAAATAATATTGAATACAGATTTTACTGGGGAAGAGAAGCCGCGGGAAACCAAAGCTGGTTATCAAGCAGCGACACCCAAGGTTCGAATATCCAAATAAACATTAGCAGCGTTCATATTATTGTTGTTTGCTTTTCTCTGTGATTACAGGACTTTGAAATATAATGTATTTAAAAATTATATTTGTCGCTAAAAGCCTATTACTTTTATTTATTCAAAATCTTTCTTCGCGCTGTATGGGTTTTGTTTTTTTGTGTTCGGTGGATCTTTCACCGAGCATCGACTTCCTTGTTTACTTTGTGACATTGGCCAATCAGCATGATGTAAAAAGTGACGTAACGATGTCTTCTTTTCGCATTTGCTCAGACATTTTTCTCACTCAAACAGATTTCCAAGCGTGGTAGTAAACATTACCTAGTTTTCGCGTTTTTGAACTCTATTCGATAGTTTTCAGTTGTGTTTCGGGAACTTAAATATAAATCAGATAATTCAATGATCACTCTGTCTTCCTAGGAGTTTTAATTTAATTGCAGTAATAAAAAATTAGCTATGATAGACTAGGCTAAAATTCTTTACCGAAAATTGTCAAGCGTGGCGCTGAGAAATAGGTATCTATTAATTGGTAAATATTTAGATCACACGAGCCTCGCCGGTAGCGGTGGCGCAGAGGAAGCGCAGACATATGATAGTACAGCAGTCCAGGGTTCGATTCCCACAGAACAAGCCGAGTTGTAGGTAACCATCGTCAGTGTAGGCTGTCTTGGCCAGGATAGTCACAGCCAGGCGACGGGTAAACAGCGTATGATCGTAGGGAAGAAAGTGTATAGCTAAGAAAGAGAACTGGTCCAGATAACAAAAGGAGTTAAAGGCAGAAAAGTCGACGCGAAAGCCAAGCAAAAGGGGCAGTGAGCAGTTTTGCCAGGCCAGATAGTAAAGGGAGGTGAACATCAAGGAAGAGCAACGAAGATAAAAGAGAGGCGAAGCCAGGTAACGCGACCGAAAATGGGCATGCGGACAAGCAACTCAAATTAAATGAAGGCTCAGAGCCAGACAAAAAAGAACTCTATACAGAGTTTATATCTTCATCCTTTTGTGTTGATATATATAACGAACGAGCAGCGCAGCATGAAAGTCAGAGTTGCGACGGCAATCTTTTTCCCAACGCTCAGCGTGATGCGCATGCCCACATCGAGTAGAATGGAATAAATGAACATAAATTATTTTTTTAATCAAATGAAAGTGGCTGTTTAATGCCAGTGCCTTTGTTACAATGCTGAAGTTACGCACTGAAAAGAGAGCAAGCAGAACGTAATGGAACATTTGGCATGACTGTGTTAGGAACTCTTGCCTTCTAGGTAAACTTAATAAAAATTAAACTAATATAGTGCGAATTCATAAATTTGAACGAATTTGACTGATGACCACTGGAGGAAAATATTTGGTCCCATGCACCAATTACAGCCCAAATATGAACGATATCATAATAAAAGACATCTTCATAAATTCTTCAGTCATTTTTACACTAGTGTTTCGTTTCACTGAATTAATTGATATATTCGTTTAATATTCAAGTTTTATCAAATTACATGATCTACTACAGCAATAAATAAAAACTACCGTAAATGAACTTAATAAAAATTTGCAAGGGTGAACAAGTAAGCGGAGTAATATTCACCAAACGTTTGTGAATATTTCCATTGTTGTTGTAGTTTATTAGCAAAGTGAACCAAACAGGTGAAACCCGGAATGGTTAAGAAGACACGAAATCATAGTTCTTTTATAATAAATAAATATTTACAATAAATATTCCCTTGCAGTCAACATGGTGTGAGATACAACAAAAATTATAAGAATTGGGCCAATTATTTCTTATTATGTAATTTACATCCAACCGAAACACTCACCCACATCATTTTGATGAATCAAATGAAAGACAAGAGAGATGTGCTCAAATATATGGACACGTTAACCAGAGCAAAGCAGTATTTACCTTTGACGCCACTGGTACCCACAAAAAATTCCCGTGATTCCGCGTAGAAATAATTTACAGAATCAAACCGGACAGCCAGTGTTCACATGGATAAAATAATACAGCGAAATTTCAGACGAAATATCAGATTTTATGCGAAATTTAGAAATAAATAAAAGTAATAGCCTTCTGGCAAAAAAATCAATCTTTTTATAGTGTCCAGTAGTCAAAGAGAAGAGCGATTTAAAAAAAAAATGATGGAGACAAATAACAATAACAACAAAATTTTGAAACGATCGTTATGTCCACTACGTGTCCAATAATTGAGGAGAATCGAGCCTGATTCAGTATATAGCATGTCGATTCACGCTCTAACAGATGGGTTTCAACTAGTGGGCCATGGCCCACTGCTGGGCCCCAGGAACATTTTCAGGTGATCCACAAACATACACATCAATTGCTGATGTTATGAGGAACTGAGGAACGTAATAATTCCTGCAAATAATTGAAATTGATGTACCCTACAGTGTAGGCCTTACACAACCCAAATAACAGAACACATACATTTTTTCAATCACCTCCTGAAACGTTGGGATGCAAGCATACCCAAATAGACGTTCGCGTTTGAACAAAATTAAATATTTCACTCCATTTTTATAGAAGTAATTAAGAAATTGATGCGTTGTGTTTTTTGGGTGACCCTGTATATATAAAAAAATAGCAAAACTTATTTACTTTAAAATGATTCCGACAGACGTAAAAACGACATGAAACAATTTCATGTTAGGGGTACAGGCTGGGACAAAATTTTCATATAAAGACAATAGAACGGCTCCATTACGGCCACTGATCCGTGTCGAGGTTGGGATTAGTTAGCAACTTATTTGTGCATGGCATTGGTGGCGGAGAAACCCGTAAACGACCAGCAGCTACGTGAACAACCCTACGACGGCGAGCAGTCCAGAAATCCTCTTCGAATATGCGAAATCACGCAGGGTAATCAGTATGGTTGTTTAACCGAGAGTTATTTTGCTATCTGATATTCGAATATTGTTGTGACGGTTAACCGGATAATAGAGCAGTATAAATAATGCATATGCGCATAAGTGATTTCTATACTTTTCGTTGAATGGCGACTGACATCTCCCAGAGCATATAATAACATAATCGCTGATAATACCGCCTACTTTTTTCTGTTAATAATAATTTTTCTATTCCGAAAAATATTCAATTTGTGGTCGATTCGAGCATTTTAAAATATTATTGCATAATAACTGTGTTCAACGTATCTCGCGATTGCGTCGACTTACGTTTAAATAAAATCACTTCTATTCTAGATAAGAAAATACGTGGTAAGCGTATTGTAAAATTCGACCGCCTTTATGACTTTTTCGAAAATTTTAAAAAGAAGTGGTGTTATTACATTTGTTGTTTTCATGGAACTTTCGCCAAATAATTAGTTTGCAGGATGGTCTATACCAGTGGTTCTCAACCTTTTATGACTCGTGGCCCCCTTTCGGAGGCTTTCAGCACTCATGGCCCCCACTTTAATATTTCAGAGGTATTAATAGGGTTATTTTCATTGATAGATTCCAAATCCCATTATGTTAAAACAATTTGCGCAAAAAAAGCGATAACACCCTGCGAAATAACCTTGTTGAGCAGCAAACTAGGAAAA